GGGTGGGTGGGTGGGTGGATGGATGGATGGATGGAAGGGTGGAAGGAAGGGTGGGTGGATGGATGGATGAATGGATGGATGAATGAATGAATGAATGGATTGATGAATGAATGGACAGGACAGAGTTGCTCAGGTGACTATAAGTCATCTCATCAGTCTCTTAGCTGAATGAGTGAATGAATGAATGGAAGGATGAATGAATGAATGAATGAATGAATGAATGAATGAATGAATGAATGAATGAACAGAAAGAACTGAATGATGAAATGTATATAGCATTGTCTCTCTCTCTCTCTCTCTGTGTCTGATATTGTGACACTTGCATTAAAGTGTAAGAGTTATTCAGCACCAGGGACAGGCATCACTGGTGTCAGCATACTTAAGGCTAACCTAAGTTATTATGTAGCCCCAGTATCTGTCTCCCTGGTTCTGACACAAGCAGGCCTCGAAATTCATTTTTGGGAATAGGAGCACAGGTGCACCCAACCTAGAAAATTAGGTGAACAAAAATGTTTTTGGATGCACCATACACAGCAAAACCTAATTACAGATCTTACTGCTCCTCTTCTAAGCTAAAATATGAAATGGGAAATCTTACTACTACAACAAAGATTTTATTATTCTTCTGACAGAATTCAAGAATATCCTGTATGCTATTATACATTTAGTAGTTAAAAAAAATATGTACAAAAATATTTGGGTGCTTTAGTGCACCCACAGAAAAAAATTGGGTGTTTATTTCCAGCCCTGACCGGTATATTTGCCCCTAGTTGTGAAATGCTGTTAACGTGTTACTACTCATTATTCCAGGTTTATGAAGGTCTGGTTTACATGGATTTCAGCAAGAACATCATGGAGGCTGAAGGTCACGGCCGATACGAGCGTCTCGACCTTTCCCGAGCGCCGACCTTGTGGCTGGCTTACCTCAGTGACCCCAGCGACTCGGGTCGTTTCCATAGCAATGTGAGACAGAGGTTTGATAATGGTGACGAGGAAGTCTTGGAGGCCATGAAGACGTTTGCAGACTTTACCGACGAGGCGAGGGTGTCGCTGGAAACAGGGGATGCTGGGAAATTGGCTGAACTCATGAACATGAACTTTGACCTCAGGAGAAAAATCTACGGTGATGCAGCCGTGGGTCGGAAAAACCTGCAGATGGTGGACATCGCTAGACAGGTACCGGATAGAGGGAGGGAGGGATATAGATATGTGTATTGAGTTACAAAAGGATGGATGGATGGATGGATGGGTAGATGGATGGGTGGATGGATGGGTGGATGGATGGATGGATGGGTAGATGGATAGATGGATGGATGGACGGTAGATGCATGGGTAGATGGATGGATGGATGGATGGATGGATGGATGAATGGATGGGTAGATGGATGGGTAGATGGATGGGTGGATGGATGGGTGGATGGATGGATGGATGGGTAGATGGATAGATGGATAGATGGATGGATGGATGGATGGATGGATGGATGGATGAATGCATGGGTAGATGGATAGATGGATGGATGGACGGTAGATGCATGGGTAGATGGGTGGATGGATGGATGGATGGATGGATGGATGGATGGATGAATGGATGGGTAGATGGATGGTAGATGGATAGATGGATGATGGGTAGATGGGTGGATGGATAGGTGGGTGGATGGATGGATGGATGGATGGAAGGGTAGGTGGATGGATAGTGGGATGCCAAGATGAAGAGAGGCCATGATTCTAAAGATGGAGGGATGGATGGATGGATGGATGGATGGACGGATGGATGGATGGATGGATGGATGGATGGATGAAAAATTTAAGGGTAGCTGGGAGGCTTTAAGAAGATATGGAAAGATTGAAAGGCGAAGAGGTATTTAGGAGTAAATGGACAGATAGATGGGCAAATGAAAGTTTGTGTCCCTCTTTTTTGTATTTGTTCCAGCACGGTTCAGCTGTAAAGTTCTGTGGCAGTGGAGGTGCAGTTGTTGGGCTGTGTTCCGACCCAAACAATCTGGTAACATTTTAGTTCTCGTAGTGCTATTTTGTTGTAAAAATTACCTAATAAAACATTATATAATATCAATTATTAGAAAATGTGAATTGATATAATTTTCTCATTACTAGTAGTGCTATTTGCAAAATATTTACTTTTATATTAGATATGAATATAATCGCTTTAAAATTTAAGAACTTATAAAATATGTAAAGAATCTGAATTTATATGATTTTCTTTTAAATATGTAATGAAATTTAATTATAATTCTGACTTTCAGATCCAAATGAAGAGGCAACTTCAGGAAGAAGGTTTCGTAGTTTGTGACATCATTCCATACAGCAGCACCCCTGCTGACAATAATGGAACAGTCCTGTTGCCAGGCAACAAAGCTAAGATCCATGGGAACAAACATCAGTAACGACTCAGTACTATATTCAATACTCTTGCCAGTATAAGTATTTATTTTCATATATGCACTATGAACGGGTGGGAAACAATATTTTTCTAAGAAAGAAAATGTATGATTATTCATATACAGTGATATTGCTTGGCCGGCTACTATAAGAGAAGCCATGTATATGAACAGCTTGCATGAAGTTTGAATAATTACTACATCTGCTGGTAAATAGTGTCTATTTGGACAGTGTGATAGTCACAATGATGTAATCATGACCTTAGTGGGAAAGAGTGTAAAAACGTACGTCCAACTGAATCATTATGGTATGGCTGAAATATATTAGATAAATAATACTTCCCAGATTTTTACATACCACAACACTAAAAATTGAATCACCTGTAATGTTAGAGGTTTTGAAATTGTTCCAATACTTCAAAAATTAAACACTGTAAGGATTACAGCCGATATTACTGGACAGGTGTAAAGGTGAAAAAATCATTTGTTTTGATGCCTGCTGAGGTGACATCACTTTTTAAACAAGCTTTTAGACTTTCTACAGTACATTGCTCTGCTACTAGAGTTCCAGACTTAGGCCATCCATAATTATACATTGTATGCTGTACTGTAAACACATAACAACAAAACACTCTTCCCCTGTTTTTGTTAGCACAATCATTCATAGAATCAAAGTTGGAACAGCCATTCAAGTGAAACATTGCAAAACTACATGTACCATGACGCCATCAATAATAAAAAAGTTACAAATTCTGAAATAGTTATTACCACGATTTTTAAGATTTCAAAATACAACTCTTTTTAAAACAGACTCAGCATTAATGCCTTTAAAATGAAACTTTACATATTTATACTTTCTGCAGTACATTGCTCTGCTACTAGAGTTCCAGACTTAGATAGTCCATGATTATACATTTTGTACATTGTATATTTTACACAAAACATAGTCATTAAAGTAGAAACAACTATTAAAGCTGATATTCGAAAATACAACCATGACGTCATCCTAAACAAAAGTTACAGATTCTGACATAGTTTCAATACTTCAAGTGTTACAACAAGTGTTACAATACTTCAAATTTAAAAGGAAAAAGTACAGCTAAATTTAATGATAATACCACCGGTGCAAAATCTCATTCATTTTGAAAACACAGATTGATGCCTTTAAAATGAAACTTAACGAGATAGTCCATGATCATACATTGTAATTACTTTACACATAATGATTAACACTCTCTCCCTGTTCTTGGTTGGGCAATCATTAAAGTTGGAACAACTATTAAATTTAATATTTGCAAAATACAACCATGACATTCTCCCTAATAATAAGGTAAAGATTCTGAAATAGCTACAAACACAATTTTTACATTACTACATCTTTAAAATATAAAACTACAGTAAACATTACTTGTTCAAAATCACATTAAATGTGGAATCTACCATTATTGAGCTTGAAAAGCTTTAATTCTTTCTTTAAGTCTCTCTCAAGAATTGTAACTTACAAGATTGGAATTTAAGTAATTATTGTAGTCTCTGTAGTTCTGCTAACACGCTAAAAGAACCACTTTTAAATTTCAGGTGTTCAAAATCCACGAATTACTTTTGAGAAAAAAATGTTTACATTCAGGATAAATCAAATCAACAATGATTTAGCAAGTTCATTTTATCCATTCTCAAGTTTCGGGCCTGCACTGCAAGTGTGCTTTCATGCAGAGGGTACGTGTTACTAGGTACTATTTCTTAGTAAAGGGCAAGGTACTAAATAGTTACTATATGCTTTCTGGTCATCAGTTCATTCAGGCAACACGAATTTAATTTTGTTGGATCAAATATTTTTAGGAGTTTTGCACAAAGTGATGATAAAAATCTGAAGGGAAAGATGTGTACCTTCGTACATATAATTTACTGAAGTGAAATGTTCAATTCCTTCTAGTCCCAAATGTGTAGCCTCTTTACATGGCTGTGCAATCTTTATCCTGACATAAAAATGCAACTTCCCAAAACATTTGGGACACTTAGTAGTGAGAAATGTGCTCATATTTGAGCTTGGTAAAATGTGAGAAACAGTTGCTTATAGTTTGATATACGAAATTAGGTCTCCTCTTTGAGTGCGGTAAAACTAAGTGAGAAGACAATTGCAAAAGTTTGATATAGCAAATTGTTTTTGCTGGACCTTAAAAGGTTTTCCTGAAACTTTAGGTTCTTCAAGAGGGAATCTACTAGATGAGATTGAACATAAGCCTAAAAGTGACCCTGCCTTGCCTGATCATGGCTACTGGCCATTTCTTTACATGTTGAGTTCTTTGGTATGTTTTTTTTTTACATCTACATACATAGTGTTTGGCTGTAAGGCAGCTAGAACTTCGTCATGTGATAAATTCCCCACTTTCAGAGATTAAATAATAGCTTGAGACTGATCCTGCCCTGTCTGATCATGACCACTGGCCATTTCTGTACATGTTGGGTTCTTTGATGGTGTTTTCACATCTATTACATAGGGGTGGTTGTAAGGCAGCTAGCACCTCGTAATATGATAAATTCCCCAGTTTCAGAGATTGCATATTAGCTCCTGACTGATCCTGCCCTGTCTGATCATGTCTATTGGCCATTTCTGTAGATGCTTCGTCCTTTGGTGGTGTTTTTACATCATTCTACATGTGTTTGTTCATACATAGGGTTTGGCTGTAAGGCAGCTAGCACTTCGTTACGGGACAGATTTGCAACTGTGGGGCTTTGAGCGTTGGTCTGATAGTACTGACCCTGCCCTGTCTGATCATCACCACTGGCCATTATAG